CCTACATACACTGGTTTTTCTACATAAACACTCACCCCCAGTGAAGGTCATCAAGATATTGATTGAAAAAATCCAGTCTCATGTAAACTTCCAGTGTGGCTGCTGCGAGTTTTCAACAAGTTTGACAGGTTGGGCAAAAATGAGGAATTTTTATCTCGAAGCTGTCAATTACGTAAATATGGTGACTCCTTTGGAGCTTAATGATCACGAGCAACTATTCAGATTTATCGAATCGATGTACTTATAAATCGCGAGGCGTTGAGGCTTCCCCTGTTGAGGTTGGAAAGTGTAGAGACTCGTATGAGGAATCCTCTGGTATGGATAGGTTTCAAAAGATCTCAAAGTCAAAACCGAGTGCTATTCACTCAATGTCCTCTCCCTTCCAAATTCATTCAAATCAATTGAAGAGATCGAAGGAAAATTTGAGAGTTTCTCAAATGACAGGAGTAGAAGACTCTCTGACGCCTCCGCAGCAAGTTACAGAGGATGCAATTTCCCAAAAAATTGGGCTTGAATAACTCAGTATCCATTTGGATTAGGAGGGTGAGACTGGCACAGGTGTATGTAGGGCAATTCAGAGAAGGGTGCATTTCTTGGGTCTGGAGGATTTTTGTAAGCAGGATTATGCTGTGTATCAGATTGAAAAGTGCCCCAGCCAAAGGTCCACAGGCTCACACGCCAAAATCTGTGGATAAGCTATAAGTCCCTCTCTCGACTACTCGTTCGTCCGAGAGGGACTTAGTTAGGTTAGAGTGACCCTGAATCTGATCCAAAAAAAGTGTAGATGTGCATCCTCAAGTGGAACAAACACATTGCTCCGACTCGATGGCCGTCCTTCTGAGGCATAGTAGTCTCTTCATCTGAAATTTTGGATAGTGTATGCAATAGGGGTTCTCAAAGTAGGCCCGGTTGATCCAAAAAAAGTGTAGATGTGCATCCTCAAGTGGAACAAACACATTGCTCCGACTCGATGGCCGTCCTTCTGAGGCATAGTAGTCTCTTCATCTGAAATTTTGGATAGTGTATGCAATTATGTTAAATGCACTTTAAAAACAATCAAACCACAAATCAGTGTGGGACGTAAACCTCTTTGAGTAGGCGGTGTTGGCGTAGCAGATAGGAAATTCACAAGATTCTGCGTGTCGAGAAACTTGATCCAAATCTCCGCACAGTTTCATTTCTTGCGTCTCTGCAAGTGCGTGTAGAATCTAGATGCAGGGCCACATATAGCTATCTGACAAAAAATGAAGGGTATGTAGTATTCGAAAAAACTTTCACGTCAATTTCATATCTGGTTGGTTCTTTTGGTTTTGCACTGTATCTACTTTGATTGCTTCAAGTGTCATTGAAATCGTGAGGACTCCATGCCAATTGCGTTGGAGAAACAGATGCGTGGGCTTCAAATCGCCCAAATGCTGATGAGGTTCACGGTACCGCGCTGCTGAAGGGGGTCTTCCTTTGTTAACTTGTCACCATGCCCAGCGGTGTCTATACCATCAGGTGGTTGTGTTTAAACACCTTTGGTTGATCATGATTGGTTTGAATTTTTGAGCTGAAGCTCCGTCGATATTTTCAAATAATCTTGCCCACTGATCTTCCTTATTCATATCACTTAATTTGCTGACCACAACTGATGGATGTTTCTTTTTGTTGTAGGCGCATTGTAGCTGGACATCTCGATTGTGTTCATACGAGGCGACGGAGTCACTGTACCAGCCCATCATAACCTTTTGATCGTAGCGGCGGTCAACACGAGGCCTCCTTAGGACATGACTATCAGGCACCTTCTATCATCCAGTACTTTCAAATTTAAAAATTTGAACGCCACGGCATGACAATCAAATACAAGGATTGCCGGCCTCATCTGTCACATTCTCTGCAAAATTGAATGGGGCTCCCTTTACCGCATAGATGTTCCCCATTATGGTTTCAATCTGACAACCTTGATACCCAAGCACAAGGGAAACTCACTGAGCCTTATTTCGAGGTGATGGCGAGAAGGGCGAGTATTTTTTCAACTTTCCAATACTTGCGTTGTGCCGCATTGTCCTAGCCCGCCTTCTATCTCAAGCTCAGGGCGATAGGTACATCTTGGTGACTGTAAACCGTGCAGCAATGATATTGGTATACTAAAATGTGTTGACAAATGAATTGAAATAAACATGGGCAAAAAAAAGTCTAGATGCTCTTGTCTTTCCCTGAACCTGATGCGATCGAATTTTCAGGGCAGACTTCAGCACGAAGCATGGAGTATGGCCGTGCCGTCAGGCCCACATCCCAGAGAACTCATCCATTATCTACCTAGTATGCGAAGTCATGGCAGGTGGTGCCTCCTCAAATGTTAATGATGCACCCACAGCTCGAAAGACAAAAGGCAGAGGATCTAAAGCTCGGGGTCTTCTTCCCTATCTGCAACGCTTCTTTATGATATTTTTTTCTCGATAGTCACAAGTATCACTCACTTTCTCAGTATCCTATCATTAATCTTATTTTAGCATTTTCTGCGTTAAACTGGCTTGGCGCGCTACACAATTCATCATCCATCAAAACAACTTCTTCTTTATAATACAAAAAATCATCCTAGTTCCTTCTTGAAATAGACAGATCTATATCATGGTATTAGACTTCGACGTTCAAATGGGCGTTACGAAAATCCCAGATCTCACCGCCGATGGTCGTGATGGATTTTCCTCAAGAGCTCAGCACGACTGGTGTGTCGAGAGGTATTTAGGCGGGATGTGCGATAAAAAACGCGGGAAAGCTTTGATTGTTAGTAGACCTGCCTTGACTTTAAACTTTTGAGAAACACACTATCTTATCGTTCAGATTATGTTGGATTTTATTTCAGGATAAAAGCATGTATGAACGCATCCTCGCAGTCCTTTTCGATAAGAACGACAAAACAACTGAAAGCGCTCAATTTCGTTGGTGGGTCCGCCGAACCTTCACCAAAGTCAGCGACGATAGAGGTCATTATTTGGTCCACGAGAATCGGCCTCTGGCTGTTAAGGAGCAGATCTATGATGTTCTTGTCTATTGTCACGCCGAGTGTGGTCATGGTGGTCGCGATAAAACCTCTGCTGTTTCCCGAAAGTATTTCTCTTGGATTCCCAAAGACGTTGTTTCTCGTTTTGTATCGGTCTGTCCTGGCTGCCACGCGCGCACGCAAAAAGACGAACAATTCTTCAGTGCCAAGGGAGCCGACGGTTATTATCCGGTGAACGATCAAGTTCGTGAGCTTTCGATTGTTAGAGGACATGCCACTCCCGAAAGCTACGCCAAGACTTCACCCTACCAGCCACTTTTGGCCGCCGGAATGGTTAAGTTGTTAAATGGAGTCAATCACGATGAGGAATCGACTGTCGGCGCTATAGGGTTTGATGCAGACGAGTTGTCGAGTGCTTCGCAAAACGTAAGCTCCCATTTTGATCGACCTGGAAGTTTGAAACGCACTGAGACTCTGCTTTGATAGTCACACCTCTCACCCTTTGACATCAATGGTCATGATCAAAGCCAATCGTCGATCCAAGACTCCAGCGTCCGTGTCGAAGGAGTTTTGGGATCTGGTCAACCTGTTTCACGAGTTCCCAGTCCACATCCTCAGCCAACTCACGATCTACAGAATAATCTTGAGAGGGCAGCTGTCGCCAACGCTCAAGCGGTCATGGCAAAAGTGGCGTTGAGGATCAAGACATCGGAAATCAAAAACTTGAAAGCAGATCAACACAAGATCCAGGCAACTAAACTAGCTCAAGGGTCCAAGATCCGGGCTCCTAAAACCTCTCGCAAGACACAAGTTCGCAAGCCGACCTCCAAGCCAAAGGTTCACAAGAAGGCTACCCTCACTGAGCCAGGGCACAATCCTTTACCGTCATCTTCTGTCTGCTCGGATACTCTTCCGCGCTTGCAGGAGGACAGCTCTGCTACTAGTACTTCGGAAGACGACAATACCAGCAAGTCTGAAATTGCATCGCCTACCCAATTCTACTCGCTTATTCCTCCTCGATTCGACTATTCGATCCAAGCTTTCTCTGGAGGTATGGAGTTGAACAATCGAAAGCATCGCGAGTCTTTGAGTCCTGATCATGAAGCGGGTTTGAATAACCCTACATCTCATCACAACACTACAAACCTTCTCGGCTTAGAACATGTCCAGACTCCTATTCCTTGCGTTGATGTGATTGACAATATGATGTTACGAGAGATGAACCAATCCACTCAAGGTTGGCAGGCAGGCGGACGCTCAGAAGGATTTAACAGGCAAGATTCTTCGTACGGAAGCGCCTATCAAGGTAGTATCCATAAAGTTTCCGAATTTCAATCATCATCAACTCCAACTTCCAATGATACCACGAATGCTGGAATTCACAGTCAGGACCTCTCGTTTCAGCAATATGCACAGTTAGTAGATCAACATAATAATAACTCCATCGATCACAACAGCGCAGGGATCGAATTCACATTCCAATCAGTGCAATCTTCAGCACCTGAATCACAACTCTGTCACTCTCTGACACCTCTTCACACTTCCACCCCGCTATCCTGGTCGCTGTCTGCTCCGACCAATGGAGGTGTAGGAGATGGATTCAATGGGATGCTTCAAGGCTCTCCTCACCCCAGCTTCCTCACTGATGACAATACTCAATACCAAGATATGCTCAACGCCGCGGGAAGCCAAGGAAGTCCTTATATGTCAGAGATTTCAGTCGATTACCAACATCAAGTCCCCCAACTAGTGGAACAAACAAAACATCGTCCTCCAATGCTACAGCTCCCACCGTCACAATTCTCTCTCGATCCTTCGCAAAATGGTCCGCATTCTGCACCGTTGCTGGGAGGTCACTTTGATTACGCGCAACGAACGGAGCCTAATTACATAAACTACCCATACAGTGCCGGTTTTGATGGACACTTTGACTTCCATGCACAAAACCAATATCCATACTCGATTGACCCGGCAACCCTAACTCAGGATTTCGTAGGAGGACAATATAACTAGTATATTGATGGTCTTTAGTGCTTCAGCCAAATCAGTCAAATCTTTTCCTCAAGCTTCTTCACTGTTCTTTCATTACTTTCACTCTCGTTTTTTTCATTTGTTGTAGTTTGTTTAGTGAATCTTGTGGACCATTTTTCAAAAGTTGTACTTGTGGCTTGGCATATTGGAATATCATTTTTTTGAAAATATAATCAGACTGAAAATCTCTTTCCAAAGATATCAGATTTGATTTATCATTCATTTCGGTAACTCATTCTTTGTTGTAAGGATTATCATTGCTTGGTGGTCTCTTCAACGTTTTAGACAGGAGAAAGAGTCTCATAATGCGATACTATGTTTGGCCACAAGGCATCGGCTCCGATAATGTCTTAGATCCCGGAAGACATGTCTACCTAAAGTCTTCTTTATGGATGATGTCAACTATACTAAAATCCAATAAATAATTTTGCCTTGTTTGATGGCAGGTGAACATCAAAAGACACGAAAATACCAAAAAGCACGGTAGGAAATAGAAGCAGAAGCTTTCAAAAGGTCCCTCTGTGTGGCTTTGAAAACAAATGATTATTAAAATTCCAACACACCATCAAGTTGAGCTGTGAGAGATGATTGGAAGTAGAAGTCACTTTAGGTTGACTTATGTTTTTTTCCATACTTTGATGCTCAAAAATCTATTGAACTTTTTAAAAACAAGATCAGAACATGAGGAGGTGGGGTCAAAGTAAGTATTGGTAGTGTTGAAAGGTGCTCACATTGTAGGGCACTCACGTTCAAAAAGCCAAAGCCCAAGACACCTACATAGTTGCCCCATACCAAGAAACAAAGTTATTTTTGGAATGGTCTGTCAAACTAAAAATAGATTGGGGTCCAACTTAACCAATCACCATCTTGAGTTGTACCAACCAGCTCTTGCCAGGACAAACAAGCAGCTCACACCAAGGAGAGAATTTAGTCACATTTCAATGTGTGTGTGATGCATGTTGATCAGAGTCATGGACTCTGGAGTGCACACAGTGCACACATCCACAGTGACTGTGACATGACATGCGCATTCCGTGACACTGATCAACATATCCCTCACATATTGCAATCTTGCACCAAAACCTTGAATGGGGTTACCAGGTCCACTTTGGGTTAGAGGAGGAGGATTAGTATTGCCTAGTGATCCTCCAGAAGTCTGACATTGCATGGTGACACACACATCTACATAGTAGTGTATCTTCATGTAATACAGGTGACTTTGCTATTTTTGGCAGTATTTGGTGGTATTTGGAGGGATGTCCATTTTTGCCATTCCGTTTTCCTGTCAAATAATCTCATTGTGATCAGAATGCATGAGAGAGCTAATATTAATCACAAGACAAACAGACTTAAATTCCAATGGCCCGGATCACGGCCACAGGCAAGTTCAAGCAATAGAGATACTGGGGGCAACCAAAATCAACAAGTTGGCACTTCCAATACCGGGTTGACTATGGTATTTGGAAGCTCCCCTGCTCTCATGTGTAGAGCAACTACCTTATTTGATTTCTATGAGAAAGAACATGATTCAGAAATAGGAAATAGAAGTCAATTGATGAGGACATGAGACTTAACATACCTCCCATTCCTTGGTTACCTCAACCAGCTTAACATCACCTCCTGTTGGACTGTTGGCCTTTGCAATGCGCTTATTAGATGCACTCTTCTGATATACAAACCAAACATGTAAGTGTTACAATAAGACAAAACATCTTGACTGACATGATAAGTTTAAAAACCAAAAAAGAGACAAATACTCACCTCAGATTCATTCTTTGCAGCAGTAGTTGGTGATTCAGAGACAATTTTGAGAGTTCCTGTGTGTTTCTTGGTTAGAAAGACAAAATTGACAAATTCAAACCAATCTTCATGATTGCTGAGCATGAATTTGGTAGTGCCAACAGTTGCCTTCCATAATAAAGTTGGAGCTAAATCAGAGGATAAAACAAGTTCTTCATACCTGGTGAGTACCCTTCAGAAATGGAACCACAAAGCTCCTTGAATTGTTTGAGAGACATGCCATATAGTCAGGCTCTCAACTTACAATTAAAAGAGGCCTGAGTCAATAACGTTCAAAGTTGGTGAGTTGCCATTGCAGCTCAAGTATCTGATTTTTTTGTCTTTTGTAACAACATCATGATTGGTGTGTATTTTGAACAACACATCAATCACCACCTTGTTTTGCAAATCCAAAGTTTTGCCAGCATTGGTTGCCTTGCAAAAAAACAGGGGGGGTGTTGGTAGGAGTTGCAGTTGATATGTTGGAGGGTTAAATACTGCTATTTGGACTGTGCTACTATTAGCTTTATTCTAAGGATCCCACTATTTGTCGCCCCCTCGGCAAGTACCCGGCGCCCCCTTCTTTTGGGGCATTACCCAAGATACCCGACAAAACCCGAATGTTCCCAGCCAAATTTTTGCTGACTCGGACCTCAGGGGCGCTCAGGGGCTTATTATTTGTCACGATCTCACAACACAGCCCCTATTATCATCCATCAAACGCCCTTTCATCCGGTTGGGCAGAAGCAACCCGGCCCAGGAGGTGTCACTCCGCTATATAGCGGAGCAAAATGAAATGGTACAAAGGTATGAACCGATCAGAACCGATCACAGTGGATCTCTTCAAACTGAACCGATTTCGATTTTAAAACAAATCTTAAACGGAAAACCAATCAAAACTTATCAATTTCAATCAATCTTACTTCAACAAGATAATCATCAACAGCCAATCACATTACTTCAATTCGTAGTCATACTTCAAATAACTTCAAATCTAATCATACTCTCAGAATTCATATTCAAAATAGTTTAGGTTCTACTTCTGACTTCTTATTTTCAATTGATTCAACAACAACCATCATCATCATCAAAACTGAATGATCAAGATGAAGTGATGTGTCATCTTGAAGTTCCTAATCTGAATCGATTATTTATCAATTCAAATATAAACCGTTCAGTATGTCAGCTTAATACTTTTTTGTATCTAATCTTGATGTGCCAAAATGACTACAACTTGGAGTGAAGCTATACACTGAAAGTGTGTTTCATTATATAGCGCTATAGCGCGCTATAAAGCGCACATATAGCGGCAAGGACCGCTTCGACATGGCAAGAACTTTTTTTTTGACTAAATAGCGCAGCCAGAGCGCTCGGCTTCATAGCGCAGGCTGCGCACCACTATGGAAAATGGCCAAATTCCATAGCGTTGCGTAGCGGTTCGGGTGTTGCCCAAGATACCCGACAAAACCCGAATGTTCCCAGCCAAATTTTTGCTGACTCGGACCTCAGGGGCGCTCAGGGGCTTATTATTTGTCACAATCTCACAACACAGCCCCTATTATCATCCATCAAACGCCCTTTCATCCGGTTGGGCGGAAAGTAACACACACTTGTCGCCCTCCAAAGACACAAAAGGGCGCAATACCCATCAGACAGGGCCCATGGCCCATGCCCTTCCTTGTCTGTGGAGTTTGCCCCCTCTCCCATCTTTCCCTTATATACACCTGTGCGTGCTCATACCTTCTTGGATTTTCATCGTTCTTCATCCACTTTCCAAACTCTAAACACCCACTCAATTCACACTTTCACAGAACCGATATCTCAATTGAGTTGTCCCAAGCTTGTTTGAACCACTTTGAACAATGAACAATCACACCTCCACCCCAGATCCGCGTGCCCCACAGCCGATCTCCACAACCCTTGTAAAACAGCAACCACCCTACCAACCCAATACCCTCGTCTCATACCCGCCTAATCAAACCTCCTACACGCCTCCTCCTAACTTCTCACATAACCCATACATACCTCCTCCGTACTGGTACCCTCCACCACCTGGACTATTTCATCCGTTTCCACCAACTGGATCTACTGGATCTGCTCCCTCCGATAGTCAAATGCCTCCCCCATGGGCTCACCCACCGTTCAATCACCCCATGTATCACCATCCATATCCTAACCCAATGATCCCTAATCACTACTCGTTGAATCATTTTCCACCTCTTTCATCTGGCCCACCTGTTCTTCAACCACCTGCTGATACGAGTCACGCGATTACGAATGATCAGTTTGAACCTACGCTCAACCCGATTTTACCATCCACTACCAATGCCAATACCACCATTGTCAAAACAACCGTTGATGGAACTTCAGGCGAAACTCACGAAACTAATGTATCAAATGACGTGCTCATGACCGAAGTCAATGCGACTAACGGCGATGATGAACAAGTGATAGTTCAAGTTCAAAACAACGAGGAACTTGAACTTTTCACCGACAATGAATGTGACCAAGACTGGCCCCCCATCGGTATGTAGTTGAAGTCACTTTGAATGAAATGTTTCCCTACATAACTTCTTCCTCGCTGACAAGATCATCTATGTATGATATGTTTCTACTATGTTTCTACAGGAGCGTCACCCGTTTGCTTACTTAGGCCTCCAATCATTGGCAAAAACTTCAGAGCAATGACCTCCGGAATAATGTACATGAATGCTGTTGCACGACACCAAGGTTACGCTCTCTCGGTCAAAAGCCACAAAAAAAAGAACCAGCGAACTATTCGAATCTACCTTCATTGTTGTTTAGGTTACAGATCAAAATCGGTTGCTGAGAAAGCAGTAGTTCTTCGAGGTAAATGTCCCACAGAACGCGAGAAAAAACGGTCGACATCTTCCAAGAAAACTGGATGCCTCTTTGAACTCTCCCTCAACTACCGTCCAGGTGACAATCGATGGTTTATCTTTCATGATAGCAAGAAAGGTTTCAAGCTCCACCACAATCACCCACCATTCGATCAACCCCACAACTTGTCAATCTATCGACGATTTGCTCCTGATGTCAAGAATCAAATTTCTCTTTTATCCTTTGCCGGTTGTCGAGCTGCTCAGATTCGGCAATTGATTGATGTTCAACCCGGATCACAACCTTTAGTGCGCGACATTCACAATGTCAGATCCCGTCTCAGAGACAGCTGGCTCAATGGCCAAACTCCTATCCAGGGCCTCTTTGACTTAATAACTGAAAGCCGTTGGGCCCACCGAACTCTCACAGCCAGCGATGGAACTCTTCAAAACCTCTTTTTTGCTAGTCCTTCGGCTATCATTCTGGCTCGCAGGTTTTCGACTGTGCTTTCCCTGGATTGTACCTATAAAACCAACCGCTTCAACCTCCCCTTGTTACACATAGTAGGTACCACCAACACAAATCGTACATTTACTGTAGCTATGTTTTTCCTCAGTAGTGAAGTCACAGCCCAGTACGAGTGGGTCTTGACGCAGCTGAAGGAAGTAATCTATGGGAACGACGATGAATCAAACGTGACGATGCCGCAAACGTTTGCTACCGATGCTGAACCCGCCCTCTCAACTGCCATCTCAAATGTCTTTCCTCAGGCCGTACACATCTTGTGTATATGGCACATCAACATCAACATAGCGAAAAACTGCAAGAGCAAGTTCTCCGAATCTGATTGGACGGCTTTCATGCAACTATGGAACGTCTTTGTTTCTTCAACTACGATGGCAGACTATGAATCAAATCTCGAGGCGGTTACTCAGTCAGCCAAAGCCCATCACGTCTTTGAATACCTCGAAAGTACCTGGTTACATCGCACCAAGAAATTCGTTGCTTTGTTTACTTCAGAAACGCCTCACTTCGGTAATTCGTCCACTTCACGTGTTGAAGGGAGCCATTTCCGCGCCAAACGGTTTCTCGACGGAAGAAATAACGACTTTCTAACCTGCTTTAATTCATTCAAACAATTTGAGGAACATCAGATGACGGAGATATCAGTGTTAGTTGGAATTGAGACCACGAAGACACTTCAAGGCATGCCCATCTTTTTTAAAGATCTCAATGGTATAGTGTCACATTTTGCGCTGAAAAAATTGAAAGCTCAGTATGACCTCTTACCCGATTCCCTTCAAAAGCCTTGCACACACACCTTCCAAGGAGCGCGGGACCTTCCGTGTTCACATGTGATCGCGGCGGCACGCGATACGACTGAATTCCTATCGGTCGACCTCATTCATGATCAATGGAAACTGCAATTGGAACTGGCTCCCACTACTCATGAAGGACTAGTGGCAGCCGCGCGTGCCCAATTTGATCGAATTCTGGAGTTACCAGAGCATGCACTCCGCAAGCTCTTTGGCGAAGTCTCCCTTCTTGAAACTAGCAGATTCGCCCTGGTTCCAATTGTGAATCCTGATGTCAAGACCGACACACGAGGCCGACCTCGAGCCAGTACGTCGAAACGCACCGGATCATCTCAGGAAGGTATGCAAGGCCGATGGAAGTCCAAGCTTGAATTGGAAGAGTCTCACTCAAAACTTCGTGTGACCAGATGCAGTGGTTGTAGATCTCCAACTTGTAAGAATACAATGAAACATCAAACACATCAAACAAAACTACTCTACATTAAATTAAAATCAACTTACTAAACTACATTAAAACACAATCAAATACAGAACATCAAACCTAGTTCATACAAAATTCAATTCAAACCTAAACTATTATCATCACTGTATCACATTCAAATTCAATCGCCACTCCGAACACGCCACTTCTCCTCATCAGTTCACTGAGGACTAGTTGGCGTGTGAGTGCCTTCTCTCTTTTTCTCTCAATTCTCAATTATCAAACTATGTTGTTAATGTCATCACCTTTCAATATTGTTGTCTAGAATACGCTTGTTCCATTCTCACCTTTACATAGGTGTGTTTATTGTTGTCTCCGGTGTTCAGAGCTAGATTAGAATAAGCCCGATTCCTGGCTGCTATCAAGGTTAGACTCTCTATATTTAAATGAATGTAATGAATCTCATCAGTTCACTGAGGACTAGTTGGCGTAATACGCTTGTACCATTCTCACCTTTACATAGGTGTGTGTATTGTTGTCTCCGGTGTTCAGAGCTGGTTAGACTAAGCCCGATTCCTGGCTGCTATCAAGGTGTGTTTATTGTTGTCTCCGGTGTTCAGAGCTGGTTAGACTAAGCCCGATTCCTGGCTGCTATCAAGACCTCCTTTACAAGGAGTCTCGAGTTTCATTAGATTCTTTCATGGTAGCGAGAGAGAACTCAACTCTCTCACTAGTATATGTCATCGCCCATAACCGTACCATCTCCTATCACATCATCATCCGATCCTGACGAACTATCACTTGATCAAACATTGGAAGACGAAACTCTGGAACAACAATCCGATTCCTCTGAACAAATCTACTGCTTCTAATCACACTGTTTTACCAACATCACCAGACAACCCTAGATCATCTCTAATAATGAGCTCCCAAATCACTCCCCAACCCACTTCCCAGAAAGATTTTGCTGTCATCCTGAATCATAATTTAAGCAAATTACAGGCCACGGTAATCTTAGGAAAGAATAATTATAATCATTGGGCTCTTGGAATCAGAAGATCCCTCAGAACATTATGTCTTGACACATATCTCACTTCGCCCAACAAATCACCCAATACTCCTGATGAAGAACACCTTGCAAATAAGGAATGTATAACTAATTACCTACTTAATCGCATGGACACAACAAACTCAGCTTATGTAGAATCCAAGCTTCAAGTCAGAAAAGATGGCGAAGTGGATTTGGAGTATGAACCCTCGAAACTCTGGACTATTGTTAGAAATAACAAAGCCCCAATATCTGAGGCAGCTCAATTTCAACTAGATAACGATCTCGATGATTTTCGACAAGATAATCGCACCACTTTAGAAACTCATCTCGCGAAATTTAGGGAAATGAAAGATGAATTGATGTTAGCTGGTGGTGATCTTACAGATGGACAAATAGCCCGTAGACTTATCAAATCACTTCACTCAGATAACCAAATGATTTTGTCGAATGTGTTTGATATGGTCAAGCCTCTTACATATGACGGAGTAGAGCAGTATATTTTGTTAAAGGAAAAGGAAATCAGAAACTTGCCACAATTCGCCAATTTATACAAAAATCAATCCTTCCATCCCGGTGCTCATTCGGTGAATCGAAACAACAATCATAATCGCAACAATCAGTTCACTCGACCCAAATGTTCAGCTGATCGATGTATATGCAAATATGGTAGAGATGAATGCTTTGAAAATCCAAAGAATCAGGAAAAGAAAATCAAGTGGCAGAAGGAGTTGGTAAAGAAAGGCAGATGGAGAGGTCAGGTTCCGAATCATCTACAATCCAGCAGTCAGTCAAAGACGTTTCAACACCGAAATTCGTCAATCATTCAAGAGGACACCGATATCAATCAAGATCTTAATGAATTGACAGACGCCATGAACTCAATGAACGTATCAACTGATGACAGCCAACCAACCGTCTTCCACATCGACTACTTCTGTAGCAACAAGGCCGTACAAGCCAGAGTTCCAAGCAACTCTTTCGGACTTGCCGATACCGGTTCATCGCATCATATGTTCAATAACTTGAGACACTTCGATCAGAACTCACTCACTCCGAACCCTGATCCCAGCAAGAGGCTTAACTTAGCTGGTGGCAATGAAACACTTGAAATACAGAAAATCGGAACAGCTTATTTACTAGATGTTGATGGCAATGTGATGAAATTCGAAAACTCACTTTATGTTCCTCACCTCAATAAGAATTTGATCGCTGCCGGTGCTCTCATCAAGAAAGGTGTCGTTCCAACTGTCCATCAAACACAACCTCATATCTTTACTTTGAATCTCGGTAAGAAGATCCTCTTCCGAGGCTTTTTCTCGGGAAATCTCATGATCGTCAAACTGGTTGAATGCCCAGTACGTCAAATTCCTTCTCAAGCATCATCCTCATCTACAGTCACTCAACCTGATAACTTAATTAACCTTCATCATCGACTAGGTCACCCTAATTTCACCTATCTCCGAAAAATGATCAAGGATAAGATGGTTGAAGGGGTTTCTGGTGACTGTGACTTAACCAAGCCTATTGAATGTATTGCATGTATCAAATCAAAGAGTGAAAGGCCTCCTTTTTCTGGTACTAGACCTCGTGCTCAAAATAAAATTGAAAACGTTCATGTAGACTTAAGTGGTATTGTCAGAGGCTACGTCAATGATGGATATCTTTATTACATTCTGTTAACCGATGACTTCACTGGAATGCGTTTTGTATATTTTCTGAAATCAAAGGATAAAACATCAGTTTTCAATGCATTATGCGCCTTTATCAAATTTGCGGAGCGTCAGAGTGAACGGAAAGTGAAATGTTTTACCTTAGATCAAGGTTCAGAATTCTTTAACTCACTATTCGTACCGTACTGTAAAGAAAACGGAATCTGGCTACATGAAACAGAAGCGTACACACCCG